AGGGTACGTAGGGTTATATAGGCGAAAGAAGTCGGTCCGGGGTGCTCGAGGGGTCCACAAGACAGGGGGGGCGCACCCAGTAGGGGGGGGGGGCGCCCTCCTATCTCATGGAGTCCTCGAGGATCTTCTGACATGAACTCCAAGTCTCCAGGATCATATTCTTCCCAAAAATAACGCTGCCAAAGGTTTCATTCCGTTTGGACTCCGTTTGATATTCCTTTTCTTCGAAATACTGAAACAGGCAATAAAACAGCAATATGGGATGGGCCTCCGGTTAATAGGTTAGTCCCAAAAATGATATAAATGTGTAAAATAAAGCCCATAAACATCCAAAAGGGGTAATATAATAACATGGAACAATAAAAAATTATAGATACGTTGGAGACGTATCACTGCTAAGAGCCGGGCTACCTCCTCACGAATGGCCTTCCGCCTCTCCTCATTAAACCGCCAAAGAAATTGCTTGACCGGCTTAAACTTTGGATCAATATTAAGAGTGTGCTTAGCGAGTTCTCTCAATACACCTGGCATGTCAAAAGGTTTCCATGCGAAGATGTCCCGATTCTCACGGATGAACTCGATGAGCACGCTTTCCTATTTGGGATCCAAGTTAGCACTGATACTGAACTGTGTATGAGTCGCCCGTAACAAAATCAACAAGCTTAGTATCATCGGCCGACTTAAACTTCATGACTGGCTCATGTTCTGTGGTTGGCTTCTTTAAAGATGTCATATCCGCCGGGTCAACATTGTCCTTGTAGAATTTTAACTCTTCTATCACACAGACCGACTAAGCATAAGCCGCGTCACCTTCTTCACATTCCAAAGCCACCTTCTGGCTCCTGTGCACCGTAATGGTTCACTTATGACCTGACATCTTGAGCTGCAAGTACACATAACACGGCCATGCCATGAATTTGGCATAAGCTGGCCGTCCGAACAGAGCATGATACGGGCTCTTGATCTTGACTACTTCAAACATCAATTTCTTGGCTCTGGAGTCATATTCATCCCCAAAAGCTACCTCCTATTCGATCTTACGATTGGATACGCCGACTTACCGGGTACGACTCCATGGAAGACAGTGTTGGACTGCTTAAGACTCTTATCAGTTAGCCCCATGCGACGAAAGGTCTCATAATAGAGGATATTGATGCTGCTGCCTCCATCCATGAGTACCTTGGTGAATTTATATCCACCCACCTGAGGGGCCACCACCAGGGCTAAGGGTCCCGGATTATCAACTCGGGGAGGGTGATCCTCCCTACTCCATAGGATAGGCTGCTCAGACCATCTCAAGTAACGAGGAACTGCCGGCTCAACAGCATTCACAGCCCTCTTATGAAGCTTCTGGTCTCGTTTACATAAACTGGTGGTAAACACATGATATTGCCCACTATTCAGCTACTTTTGATTGCTCTGGTATCCACCTTGCTGCTGTTGCTGACCGCCCTGGCCAGATTGTTGGTTATACCCACCTTGATTGCCTTGAGAATTTTGAAAATTGGGATTTGACCCACCGCCTGATGACCCACAAGTCTAGGGGATCTATTGTAGTCCTTTCGATAAGTAAGAGTGTTGAACCCAACGAGGAGCAGAAGGAAATGATAAACGGTTTTCAGTAAGGTTCTCCCTGCAAGCACTGAAATAGTAGGTGATAGATAGTTTTGTGATAAGATAAATAGTAACGAGCAATAAGTAAATAAAGTAAATAAAGTGCAGCAAGGTGGACCAATCCTTTATGTAGCAAAGGATAAGCCTGGACAATTTCTAATAATGAGGAAGGATCTCCCGAGGACACATTGGGAATTATTGTCAAGCTAGTTTTCATCACGTTCATAAGATTCGCGTTCGGTACTTTGATAATTTGATATGTGGGTGGACCGGTACTTGGGTACTGCCCTAACTTGGACAAGCATCCCACTTATGATTAACCCCTATTGCAAGCATCCGCAACTACAATAAGAAGTATTAAGGTAAACCTAACCACATCATTAAACGTATGATCCATATCAACCCCTAACGAAGCAACGCATAAACTAGGGTTTACGCTTCTGTCACTCTAGCAACCCATCATCTACTTATTACTTCCCCATGCCTTCCTCTAGGCCCAAATAATGGTGAAGTGTCATGTAGTCGACGTTCACATAACACCACTAGAGGAAAAGACAACATACATCTCATCAAAATATCGAACGAATACCAAATTCACATGACTACTAATAGCAAGACTTTACCCATGTCCTCAGGAACAAACGTAACTACTCACAAAGCATGTTCATGTTCATAATAAGAGGAGTAATAATATGTATAAAAGATCTGAACATATGATCTTCCACCAAGTAAACCAATTAGCATCAACTACAAGGAGTAATCAACACTACTAGCAACCCACGGGTACCAATTTGTGGTTTTGATACAAGATTGGATACAAGAGATGAACTAGGGTTTTGAGAGGAGATGGTGCTGGTGAAGATGTTGATGGAGATTGACCCCCTCCCTATGAGAGGATCGTTTGTGATGACGTTGGTGATGATTTCCCCCTTCCGGAGGGAAGTGTCCCCGGCAGAACAGCTCTGCCAGAGCCCTAGATTGATTCCGCCAAGGTTCCACCTCGTGGCGGTGGAGTTTTGTCCCGTAAGCTTGCCCATGATTTTTTCCAGGGTAAAAGTGATGATATAGCAGAAGATGGACGCTGGAGGCCCACCAGGGGCCCTAGGAGATAGGGGGCGCGCCCTATAGGGGGGCACCCCCTGTCTCCTGGACAGGGTATGGGCCCCCTGGCCTATTTCTTTCGCTCATAAATTCTTATTAAATCCAAAAAGTTGTTTCGTGGAGTCTCAGGACTTTTGGAGCTGTGTAGAATAGGTTTCCAATGTTTGCTTCTTTTCCAGACAGAATTCCAACTGTCGGCATTCCCCCTCTTCATGGTAAACCCTGTAAAATAAGAGAGAATAGCCATAAGTATTGAGATATAATGTGTAATAACAGTCCATAATGCAATAAATATTGATATAAAAGCATGATGCAAAATGGACGTATCAACTCCCCCAAGCTTAGACCTCGCTTGTCCTCAAGCGGAAGCCGAAATCGAAAAATATGTCCACATGTTTAGAGATAGAGGTGTCGATAAAAATAAAATACGGACATGAGGGCATCATGATCATTCTAATAACAACAACATATATAGATTTTGTCATATGATTTTCTATGCTCAAGTAATAAGCAATTCACAATGTCAAGTATGGTTCGAAAACTTCATTGGGAACTAACAAACTATAATCTCAGTCACTGAAGCAATTGCGGTTTATCGTAATATAAGAAAGAGTCAATAATGGAGCTTTTCAGCAAGCTCACATACTCAACTATCTCATAGTCTCCTATAATTGTTAACACTCACGCAATACTTGTGGTTATAGAGTTTCAGCCGGACACTGAGAAAGATAGGGGCTTATTGTATTGCCTCCCAACGTCTTCACCTTTAGGTGATGTCAACAATAATAGCCCATGCTAACTTATATCCAATTGGATATATATATCATGATCTTTCAAACATGAGGAGCTTGCCAAAGAATAAAATAAAAAAGGGAAATATGAGGATCACATTGACTCAAGCATAAAGTAAAAACATAAAGTAAAAGATAGGCCCTTCGCAGAGGGAAGCAGAGGTTGTCATATGCGTTTAGAGCTGTCCTGTGTACACTTTTTGGGTGCATTTAGAAATGAATATGTTTGTTTGTTTAATAGTAGTATAGATAAGATTAGCGAGACGGACGTAGGGCGTGTAGAGTGGTAACCAAAATTAAATCCATTACTATATTTTCTACTTCCTTTTACCCTCACACAATTAGCAGGGTGGGACTGCACTGGCTTAGTGCCGTGGTACGCGGGTGGTTAGCGATCAGCGCGCAGAATAAGAGCTTTGCACTCTCGCTCAGTTTAGCATCACCGCGGTATAGCCATTGAATCAACCTGGTGTAGTATTCAACTTTCTCTAATTTTCTAACCATGCATGAAGCGTTAACATATCTACTGGAGCTTTTACTTGTTGGAGTATAATGTCCAGTCCTCTCCCGTAGTTAGGATTTTTGGATAAGTTGGCTGGAGCATGTATTCAATATGGTATCCGAGTCAAGAGGTCTTCAGTTTAAAACCCTCCCAACGCAGTATTAAATAAAACGATTTCGTGGCCTACATCGATCGCATTTCTAAGGACTAAAATAGTCTAGACGTGCAGGGGGTGTTGAAATATATTGCCCACCTCCCTCAATCAGTTTGGACTAATGGGTGAACTAGTTAGGTGCATAAGCTTGCAACCAAGAGGTTTACGATTCAAAACCCAGCAAATGCAATAAATAATTGCGGCCTGCCCCCGCTTCTGCTGCCCGTCATATTTTTTTAAGGAGGATGACCCCCGGCCTCTGCATCTGGGAGATGCATGCGGCCATTTTATTGATTATTTTCGGGGACCTTACAAAGTAGAGCAACAATATGTCTGAATTCGCCATCTTGGCAACATCTGCCGCTACTCCTATCCAAATGATGAAGGGGTGCAAGCTGGGCCACATACCCAGACCTCTCACCTTAACCTAACATCTAAAACCGAAGGCCCCGCCTGAGCCATCTGCCAAGTCCGGGGCTCAAACCGGTCCGACGCACTCACATGTGTCGTCTCCGCCATCTTCCACTGGTCCAGTTTGAGAGCAGATTGAGGTGACAACCTTGGCAGGTCCTTCGCCATCGACGCCACCACGACGCCAAACGACCTCCACCTACGCGAGCCTTGGCAGGTCCTCCGCCATTGACGCCACCACGACGCCAGACGATGACCTCCGCCTACGCAAGTCCATCTCCAAGCAACGGACGTAAATCCATGCTAGGATAAGGCCGCACCACCGCCGTCGCCCACCACCCACAAGCGCCACACCAACCCCAAGGTTCCCAAAGCGGCGCCTTTAAGAAGGGAACGGCGCCGTGAGCGCCGCCGCCGCCCAACAAAGTTAGGGCTTTCGCCCGAGAGACCTAGGGGAAGGTGAAGTGAGGAGATCAGTCCATACCAACGCCTCCAAGGAGGGGAACGACGCCCTTAGGCGTCGCCGTCGGCACGGCCGGTCATGGCCGGTCAGGGATTTTGCCCGAACTAGATCCCCGCCACCAGCAGCGCCTCCTGTACAGAACCGGCGACCAAGAGAAAGCGCGGCCCGACCAGGTTGGACTGCACGCCGAACAGGGGAGGAGGGAAGGCGCCAGATCGCGCGCACCGTCCCCCCCAGAAGCCGCCGCCGGCCGCCAACGACCACCGGATCCCGCCTCCCGCGCGGCCGGGACACCAGATCCACCGCCCGCGCGGCTGCTAGCCGGCTGTGCCTTGCCAATGAAGCAGCCGCTCCAGATCCGGGATTCCCCACGCAGAAGCAAGGCAATCGAGGCCCCGCCACCACCATCCTTGGCGCCCCAGGCTTGCCCGGCGACTGCCTCAGGCGGCGGCGAGGAAGGGAAGAGGAGGGGGAGCGGCTAGGGTTGGGAGGAGGAGGGGCGGACGAGGGTTGGGAGGAGGAGGAGGGGGAGGAGGGGCGGACGAGGGTTGGGAGGAAGAGGAGGAGGAGCGGCTAGGGCTGCCTGTCATATAGCCCCAAAGAAGCTTAGACGTTTGCGTGGTAATTTCTACAAGTAACAAACATTGAAACAGTCACAAGAGTACAAGATAGATGATGCAAAAGTTTAATTGTGTCACGTATAATGTTCTTTTAATCAATCAAAGAACGCCGCAAAAGCTAGGTCTCTCCTTTTCTTCTTCAGGTGAAGCCGGGTCTCTCTTTGTTGAATCGATCAGTATTCAGTAAAAAATGTACTGTAAAAGATTTTGAAAGAGTGATTGCTGATGACACCTCGACGTCCTGTCGACGGCAAGCAAAACGCGCCGATTCGCTACGACTTAGCAAAGACCGAATCAGCTTATAAGATCCACTTGATCAAATCATGCATCCTCGTCTAAAATCGCCCACTCGATGATCACAGAAGTCCCAAAGGCCAAAAGGTGGTTTGGACTTGGAACCACGCTGATGACTGAACTGAAACCCGTTCAGAAAGATTGGGAGGTGGTAACTAATCAGACATCTCCAGCGCACTTTGCTTCGTCATGCTAATCAGACACGGACCATACGGCCGGTTCGTCTCAAGGAGGAAAGTTAAATGTTGCTACCACCTTTCCGCTTTCTTTTGCGGGCGGCATAGTTTTTCTTACCCAAATAATCGTTTGGTCAGGCACTCTGGGTAATGTAAAAGTTGCGGCTTCATTTTCTTTTTGAGAGTCAAGTTGCGGCTTCATTGAAATGAATTGGCCGACTATGTCACTGATTCTAAATTAGTTGCTCTATCCGGAAATGGTAAACGTGAGGAAATGGTCTTCAAATTTTCTTAAAGCTTATCGATCTGGGCATACTTATTGAGAGTCTTCACCATGTCGACACCCTTATGTGCTAAGCAATCAAAAAGCTTTAAAGTGTGTGCCCACAAAAAGTATACAGTTTAGAGTGTTTGCATGTCCGGAAAATCTTGATAAATGTGTTACTGAAAAAAAAACTGAGTACATATTCTCCTTGTTCGGGTCACAAATGTTTTTTTTTTTGGAAAGGCCAAGACTATGGTGGTATTTGTTTCTCTAGTCCTAGGACTTTTTCTAGTCCCTGTGACTTTTTGAAAAAGACTCTTAAGGAGGTGCTTCTAAGGACTTTTAGCAAAAAGTCCCAAAAAAGTCCCACCCTGTTTGGTTTGCTAGGGACTTTTTCTAGTCCCTACACCAAAAAGTCTCTGAAAACAAACACCCCCTAAATATATTAAGTAGCATACCATTAAAAAAACACCCTTATAGATATTGGAAAATACACCCAAATCCTAGTCGTTGTGTGTGCCGAAGAAGACTGCAGATGGCGCGCCGTGACCAAAGGTCGTTGCTGCCTTTGAGCCTCTGTCGCAGTGAAGCAAACTTGTTGAAATCTAGTAGCTTGTAGAAACAGTGGCTAGGAAGTTGAAGACATAGACCAGAAGCTGTCGGCCCTATCTGGTACACAGATCGTGGTCGAAGACATAGACCAGATAGGGCTATAAAAAACCGGAGAAGAAAACACTGGAGATGGCATGTATAATGCCCCAGGTCCGACCATGATGTTTTCGAAGAATACAACTCTCATACGCTCCTCGACGACATCGAAGCCGACCAAACTTTGCCAGCTGGAACTAGAGCTGGAGGACCAGGATACACAATCGCTCCATCCCCCCCCCCCTCCCCCCGCCGTAGGACATCGCCATCGATAAAAACCCATAGAAGAAAACCACCGACTAGGAGAACTAAATATGTGGACGCACCTGTTAGAAGTATATTTACGTTTAAGACAGAGATAAGAAATAGAAATAGGATAAGTTTAACTTGTCCTCTATTCCAAGTCTCTCTTCCTCCATTGTACCTCTATATATACCCCTACACGGGTCAGATCAATACAACATAATATTCAGCCATCTCATATTTTCCACATGGTATTAGATCGGTTTGTCTCACGACGCTGATCCTAGGAACCTTCCACCACACTTCCGCAGCGCGCCGCCCCCTGGGAGATTAATCTCCTCTCCCCGGGGGCGCGGCACCTGGTCGAGCAAAGATCAAATCGTTCCATAGATTAGATCGATTCCATAGATTAGAACAATTCCAATTCGAAATTCTCTTAGATTGATTTTTCTTTCTTTAGCCACAAATAAATTCCTCTCCCCGACCCTCAAATCCTGTGAGATCAATCCAGCACAACGCTCATGCAACAGCGGAGCACACGCGGCAGGTCGCGCGGTCCAGAAGAGCATCCACCGGTTTCTGTCCAGGCGGCCCCACGGCGCATCTGCGCAAGCGCATCTTCATCGACCTCTGGCTCCGGCCGGCACGCCGGGGATACGTACAGGCGACAGTCAGCCCAGGCATACGATCTGTTTTTGATCTGCTTCGACACACACCCATCGCGTCGACAAGTCGGACAGGGAGCAGATCGGTTCCCTTGGAGCCGGCACTTGCACTTCATCGGCAAGCACCTCCATCGACCCATGCAGCCATGCATGCACTTGTATGACATGCACAAAAACTGCACGTACGTGCTATATCTGGACTCGGGCTTGGTTTGGATTCGGCTAGCTTGAAGCCTTCAACGATGCAACTCCGAGGGCTCGGTTGCACGTGTCTACATCATCCCGATGCACGGCGACTCCGTGGGCACTCGATCACGGGAGGGCATGCAGCTGGGCCTCATCAGCATCAGCTGTCTTCGTCGACTTCGGACACATGCGCAGATCCCAGATGGATTCCAGCCGGTGCCCATGATGGCCATCGCCGAAGCCGCGGCCTCGCCAAGGGACTCCACGCTGCAGCGCCAACCAGCTAGTTGTCCGCGTACGTCCACGAGCCGCTGCATCGAGTGATCTGCACCAACCCTACGCCGCATCATCAAGCTGTACAACTACGTCAGGCTACAAGCCAATATACTTCGTCGAGCACGGCTACAAGAAGCAATCTCAACATGCACCATCCACACGCCAGGCGGGTGTGGAACGAGATGCAATCTTAATTGACTTCTCCGGCGCGACACGGCGTTGACACTTGGTCGCCGCGAGGGACGCCTTCAAGCGACACATTATCGTCAACACGCTGCTGTGACGCCATCGCCGACACTTCATCGTTAAGGTCTTCATCAACGTCGTCTTCATCAACATCTTTATCAACACACCGCCGCCACCTTGTCCACAAGATGGACACCTAGCGTCCTCTGACAGAATTTTCTACAAGACGCGGCCACGACGACGGCAACGACCGCGTCACGACGATGGCATCGACCGTGTCATCCACGACGGCACGACTGCACCAACATGGCGTCACTATACTGATGACCCCTACACGGTCATACGGTTTTGGCAAAACCGATGTGTGCTCGATGGGTTTCCTCACGTCTTGACAAAACTGGTGGACTCATCGCCGACGACACTCTCTGACATCCGCAAGGTGCATCGTCCACGTCTGCAGCTCCGTCATAGCGCATTTTTTTGCGCCTCCGGCTTTGTGCGGTTTCATCATCCACAACGACTACACCATCGATCACGACTACATCGACCACGGCTACATTACCATGATCGGCTAAACTCGACATCGACATTAATGACTTGGTCTACAGCAACACATCAGCAACAACTCCAGTCAACAGTGTTTGCCTCGTCACTTGCGTCCACGACACTCCCGCTGTGACTGCGGGAGGGAATAGAGGAAAAGGCAGGAAGGCACCAGAAGGGGACACAGTCACCGCCCTAACTGCCGACCCATCAGAGACGTAGTTGATGATGGCGCAACGGAGAAGACGACAAAAGAGCAAGACTTCAAATTCAGTCGTAATCGTCCGCTTCACTCCCGCTACGACTGAGGGGGAATGTTAGAAGTATATTTACGTTTAAGATAGAGATAAGAGATAGAAATAGGATAGGTTTAACTTGTCCTCTACTCCAAGTCTCTCTCCCTCCATTGTACCTCTATATATACCCCTACACGGGTCAGATCAATACAACATAACATTCATCCATCTCATATTTTTCACAGCATCACCTTTCGCACGTCACCCAACGATGTCAAAAAGGACCATGAGAAGAGGACGAGGCGGGAATGACTTATTCCACGATGATGGCGACGCCATCACCTTACCACCATCGACTAGGGACGAAACCTAAACAAAAAACCTCACCCTATCATCAGCGGTCCGAAACAGCAGGTCCTGCCCCTCCCGTTGTTGAAGCGGCGGAGGAAGGGATCGAAGGCTCATGATCTCGTCGAGGAGAAGGTAGATCAACACCGCCACACAAGCTCAATTGAGTAATCCCTCAAACACACAAGGGCTATAAATTAAATAAGGTATGACTTTTCACGGCACACACACATACTCCCTCCGTCCGGAAACACATGCACACTACAAATATTTCCGGACGGAGGGAGTACATGTATATCATATTCCGTAACTAAGACGTGCCGGTATATATTGCGTCACATAATATACATGTATGTGTTTTTAGATTTTTCAAAGTAGGCGTTGATACTGGAACAATTGCTAGTACAATTTACTTGATGCAAACAGCAGTTTGCTCAAGGATGGCTGTAGTGCTAGTCTTACAGAGGGCCCCTGAATCTGATTGAGAATCCCAGTGATGTTTTTGTTGCAGCAAAGCTCACTCCTGAGACAAACGAGGCAGCAGTTCACTAATCATTTCAGAGAGAACGATGCCACCAGAAACACATGCGCATCCAACATGTGGATTTTAAAATGGGCACAGGGAGTATATTGGTAAATAAAGTAGAAGCAAAGCGAGCAATAAACAAGGCAACAAACACCGTACATGGACTCCATCCAATTCCAAACAATAGAGAAGGAAC